GTAACTTTATCTGCTTCTTAAAAGAATGAGAAATGTATGTCAGGTGTCACCAAAGCTCCTTTGCTCCTATATCAGCAGTGGTGATGGCATAAATAGCTATCCTCGCTCATGTTTATGCAGGATGAGGTATTTGACTGCTTGAAAAACGTGTCTTGCAGTTTGGGGAAACTCTGTATATTGCCTCAAATCATAGTGCTCCTAGACGTGCTTGTAAATGAAAGGTAAATTAATTGTGTCATGACAAATACCTCTTCTGTGCTGTGCACTCACTTAAATCCTTTTTCCCTGTTCCTATCGCTCTGGAAAAGAAAAAGAGTCAAAATATTGAAAATCACTGGAGCTAACGTACAATCAAAAAGAAGATGTCATTTTCTTTGGGGTCAGAAAGATAACGGAAAAGAACAAATTTTTACTTCTAAAAAGCCTGGAAAAAGTGAAGATAGCTTTTATATATTTTCATAATATAGTTGGCACAGTGTACAGGCCAATGAAAATACATTATTGTACTTAATGCTGTAGATGTTTGAACCTGCATAATTGAATGTACAATGTTTACTGATTTTTAGAAAGAACTTAGAAAGGATGGAATACATTAAAATGTTCCTGTTCACAATAAGACAAGATATTTCACATAAGCTTCTTATTTATATATTTTATTTTCTTTTTTCCCACAAAATCTTAGCCATGCTTTTGCCACCTGGAGACTGATGATATCTCCTATCATTGGAGGCCCTTTTCAGCATCATGACATTTTTGAGTGGTCGTCAGGATCTAGTCTATTTTTTTGAACTATTGACATAGTCTGAGAGCGGAATAAAATTATTACTGTAACTAAATACCACAACCTTAAGCGAAGAAGTGACACGGGAAAGAAACAGTGCCTATATGCTTAGCTTGGAGAACTAAAGTTTTGCAGTGTAGGGCATGCTTCTCTCCCAGTGGAACTGGGAAATGTGTTTTAAAATCATCTTTAATTGAAGTTCGTTATAAACAAAGCAAGGCTTATAGGAAAAGGTATTGTTTTTCTGTGGAACAATTAATATAACAAATTTCCCAAGCTTTTGGGTACTACAAAGACCATTCTGATCTGAAGCAGAGACAGCAAACTTCAAGCAAGCTACTACTGTTACACTGATAGTTTCACCTATGTTTGTAGCTATCCTTCTGGAAGGTGAAAGCGTGTGTGACAGTTGCAGCTTGCCTCCTTCCTGCCCGCCCCCAAAAGCTAGCCAAACTATCATATGTTTCCTTTTCAACTAAGCTTCAATTAATTCTGACCCTGCAGCCCGCATCCGTAGAATAATCACAGCAATGGGAAACGCTAATATGTGCCTTGGGAGGCTGGCTCTCCAGTCCTGTCTGGTTTAATGATACAGCACATTTGGAATGATGTAACTGAATACAAACTCACCATGCTTATCCCCAGCATCCCAAGTATTTTTGTTTATAATGACTGGTTTTGCGCTATTTGAAGTGATGCATTTTAAGAAATGAGAGTACCCATGTAGGAGCACCCAGATTGTAAAAATGAGTATCTCTATAAAAAGTATTTGTTTGGGTTTAGCTACTCATTGGGGGGTTTTGAGATAATAATCCACCATCTAATATGTGCTTATCCTCGGCCAAGGTTTTAACAGGTTATGAGCAGATGACTTTCCTTGACTGACTTACCACTTTGCGTTGGTATTCATTCTGTTTATGTTACATGTTTGGTTATCTTTTCCATTTTCAGAATCAATGAAGTGTTTGATGTATTTGTATAAACAGTTAGATTCCTGAAAATATGTTCTGAATTATATGCCATTACTGTAGAACAATGCACTAACAACATTCTGGGATCATTTAAAGCTCTTTGTTTAATAGCACAGGGAATCTTATTAGACTGTTACAGTAAGTATGTTAACATTAAAAAACAGCTTGTAAAAATGAAGAGGTTTTGAATTCTAGAATTATGGAGGATATAAAATTGGTGCCTTTGTTTTTGTCTTCCATTTTTCAGTGAAATGTTTTTCTGTTGTTTCTTGACAAAAGTGTTTCCCATCAAATGAACCATTTGGATTTCAGTTTTGCCAATCATATCTCTAAGAATAACTTCCAGTGTGAATTTTGAGTTTGAGGTTGAAAATATAAAATTAAAAATTTCTGTTCTTTTTGTTTGCCTTTCAGTTGCAGTACTTAGGAGTCATGAGTTGCTTCTTGCAGCCATGATGACTGGAAACACTTCATTTCCTCTAAAATAAAAACTAGTATTTTCATGGAATTGCATGTCTTCAGAATAAAAATAAAAATTCCTTAGAAACGTTTATAACATGAACAAACGTGTTAATACAAACAGTATACATTTCTCTTCCATTTTCCTCTGCTCCCTGCAATTATTTGTATTGGAATTTAGTCTGTACAGAGAACTCTTCCTGGAGCAGCCAAAGCTGTATTGAGCTGCTTGCTGTAAATACCATACATAAAGCTGTACCATGTGAAGGCATATAAAATATAAATACAGGTGTAAAGTATACAGCGTATCGTATAATTTCAGAGTGCGAGGCAGCCTGCATGGGAGCTGTTGCTTATATTATGTTCAGGACTCAGGAAAACTAGAAGGTAATGAGACTCAAAAAGGTCTGTGCTTATATTCTCTTACTTCCCTTATTCCTCTTAGTCTGTGACAGTTATGCTTCCTTGTGTCCTGTCCCAAAGGTATTCTAATTGAGTGGCAAAACTGTTGGCTTTGTGATGTTGAAATACCTCCAGGTAGGCTGTCTACAAGAAGGGTGCTCCAAAACTCAGAGGGATAGAAGTGTTTTTCTTTGAAGTGCTACAAATGGTTGGTCTGTTTGTAATATTTTTAAGATAATTTTGAACAGTTTCATTATATAGTTTCAAATATGGTTCATTAGTTTCTTTTTTACAGTTGTTTCAAGATTGCCCAATGAGACAAATATTGCCATTCGGAAGAAAATAATTAAACTTTATCTCTGCTTGAAAAACAGGTCTATGCTTTACATCCGTATCTATATGTAAAGTTTCTGTAGTCAATAGAAAATGATGCAGGTTAACATGTAACATTTGATAATTTGAATTTTCTTGATGTATCAAATACTTGTTCATTGTTATGAGTGCTGAACCATGAATAATTTACTGGATTTCTATTTATACTATGCAGTGTCTGCTAACTTTGAAGTTTAGTAGTCAACTGAAAAGTTTGCTGAAGCTGACTAATGATTCACCAGAGATTTTTGAGAGATATTTTGTCATCAATTTAAAGCTTGGAGAGGTTTGCTGTTGCAGCCATCTGGTAATTCTTGGTTCTCTGGAGGAAAGAGAAGTCTTTTGATAAAATAGATCAAAGCATTCTGCTCTTTCAGTGACTGATACCTATAAGTAACTGAGAAGTTTCAATGCCTGTCTCATTTGCCAAATTTTTGCATTTTAGTTACAATAAAATACTAGTAATGAATTATATTTTAATTATATTTAAATCGTTATTTAAATACTTCTGTTCATGGATAATTTACAGATCTAAGTGTTTTGTAAACCCAGATTTTTTCTAATTTACCAAATAAGCTGTCATGAGTAATAAAATAAATTCTAAATCCTGTTGTTCTTCATTTGTGCTAACTGTACAGGTAAGGGTACTCTCAAAGACTGTAATTCTGCTATACCATAAGCCTAAGATATAGATGTACCTCATAAACTGTAGGTGATGTACAACTATAGTGTAAAAATGTATATCATACTATTTCTAGAAGTAGTTCTGTTAGCAACTGGAATTCTGGTGTGGGGTTTGCAGATGTTTGGCAGTGAAGAGCAAATACGGAGAGAGAGAGGACAGGAAGGGTGCGCTGCAACACCCACTTGAAACGAAACCAATCTAACACTGGATTGCACTTACGCTTTTGAGATTTGTCTGGAATCAGGATGTTGTTTCTATTCCATCAGACATTCTGGATGTGCAATTGCCATGACCACACATGTCCAGTCTTCTTAAAGAGTGAGTTTATTGCATCACCAGTGTGGCACAAGCAGCCAAAACAGAGTGGTGAAATTGGCTTTTACCTTGCAAGTTGTTTAGTTAAAGGATGTCTGAGTGAAATTTTGGGTTGTGTTACAGTGGAAGAAAGGGAAAGCATTAGCTTGTAATGCACCATACCTCTGTGCATCAAAAGAGGCAGTATTCTCTTGCTAGGGGTGAGTTAGTGCACAGTGGAACTAAGGAGATGTGTTTATGCCGTTCACTCTTCCTTGTATTAGAAGGCCATTGTAAGGACTGATGTACTGATGAAAGACAATAATTAAGCCACGTATGTCACACTGTCCTTAATTAAAGCCTATCAAAGAATTTCAGAAATCGTTGAGTGGTCTTGGGATGTAGCCTGTATCATCCTAACAACTATATGTAGTGTTTATTAATTGGTTAGCCTTATTATCATTTAACCATTCAAAACACGGCATTGGCTAAATGACAGATGTCAGTGAATTAGGCAGTTACCTCAAGTTCTTCAAACTTGCTGTTCTTTACATTAGGTAGTTTGGAGAGAGGAAAAGACTTCTAAAGAGGCTGAGGTTTTAAGGACTGAAGAAATTAAAAATACAAACTAGTTAACTAATATGGTACTACATTCTCAGCAAATAGAATGATGGGTATTTAGTGAAGGAATAGCTAATTTTTCACATGCTAAAATTTGCTTGAACTCAGATTTAAAAGTGGCGTATAGATAGCAGAAGAAAGTTGCATGTACTTGTGATTGTAATTGTTTAAACTTTTCAGTGAGCTATCCAAGATAGGTCTGGTGCTCTTGTTTCTCTTTAAGCCCACAAACAATGGTAAATTTGTAATTCCATACTGCATAATCTTCCACAGTTTTATATTCTGCCTGCTGTATCTCTGAATCAGATGCATGTGCTTACCTGTTTACCGCCTTGTCTGCTTGACATGTGTTTCCTAGCAGCTACAGTTGAGCATTTTTTTTCTTCTGTGTTTTCTTTTTGGTTTTTTTTTTTTTTTTCAGTGTGGGAACTTTGCTGTTTTGGTGGATGTTCATATTTTGCCTCAAGGCTCCAGTAAAGACACCAGCTGGTTTTCAGATCATGAGAAAGAGGTACAACAAATATCAATTCTACTTCAAAAGCATGTGGCTGCGGGGAAAAATGTTGGATTGCCTTGAACGGTTCAGATTTTTTCAGTGTTACGAGAATATTGTTAGTTATACCTAACTGTCAACGGTTGCCTTGGGACCCCTAAGTCAACCGTATGTGCTTTTTTGGGTCACTAATGACCACTTTCAATTTGTCTTTTAATTTGTAAACTTTGTGTGTGTGTGCATACATGCATGTCTGAATGCTGTTTTGATTCATCTGACTTAACTTTTAATTTTAAAAACATACCTCTCATGAATGTTTGTAAATTATCCTGAGTGATATAAAACAGATTGTGACAGGTGTCATTTTTGCAGAGCTTGTTCGTGAAATGTCTTTTTATTAAAGAGAATTGTGCATGATGTTGCATTTAGAGACAGAAAGAAAACATAAGTATTCATGATAAACTATAGTAGAACCATTGTATCTTATAAAAAGAAACTCCCGGTCTTTATTTTTAAGTGTGTCAATGGTAGATCCTGAAAGCAGAAGAAATTTTGGAAAATCAGTGCATCAGTGACCAGCAAAATTATGAATGTAACTTTCATCAGATTCTGTGTGATTTCTTCAACAGTCTTGTGATGAGTTACTGGTGGGAGTTTTCCTTTCTTTCAGTCTGTGTGGGAACTTGAGAAGTTCCCTATTGAAAACGAATGCAGGACATGTTTCAAATGCCTGTGGACTTTCCCGCAAGTCTCTGTTACGGTAATTTTCAGCAGATAGCTTTCCTAATAATGGCATAATTAACTCGTCACTGCAGAGCATCCCCATACATCTCAAAGTCATACGTTTAAATAAAATTAAAAGAAACAATACATTAATATCCTGAGGGAGTGAAAGCAGAATATTTAACAGCCTGTGGTTCATCCGATTTGTGCTTTATTAAGCAGAGAAAGAAGAAAATAGGGGAAATCTTTTAGACTTCTTTTTTCTGACTAAATGAATACTCATTACCACTTCTATTTATAACCAGTTTTACTATCCCGGTTATCTGACTTTTAAGTGTTTTCAGAATGTATTTTGTAAGACTGCCAAAACAAAAGATACGAATTTCAGGAAATTAGATCATGATTGGTTTAATAAAGAGGCATGACAGGGCAGCATTCATTACATTTCTGTGACCGCACATTTTGAGTGAAGTACAAAGGTTGCATATTTTCGACAACTGAGAAGCGTGATTCCAATAGCTTTACAATCCGCTTCCTGAAAGTCCTATGCAGAATCTTTGTTCAAGTGAGAAGAAAAAGGTCAGTAGTGTATTATAGGCAAATTATGCCTACTTTTTTTTTTTTTTTTTTTTTTTAACGGGAGTCTTTACATACTCATCACAAGCAGTTTTCTACATTTTTGTTGTTTCCAAATTCTGGGAAGTACTAATGGTGGTACAGCCCTCTTTGCTTGTCTGCAGATGCCTCTTAGACCCCTTATAACACAGACACGATTTCTGCTGATCCCCTCCTTAGCCTGGATGAAATTCAGTGACTGCTGTTTGTAGCAAATGGAGCCTGGAATGATGTTAGGTGGGTGCGTGGGCAGGGACACTGCTGCGGAAAAGGGATGCCGTGTAATGGAGCCGCTTGGCAGTGCCTCCGCTGGCAGTGCCATCCCAGGCAGAAGGAAGGAGCAGTGTTGCCCTGTCAGCTGCCAGCTCCTGCTGGAGAATGGGTCCTGTAGAGCAGGCTGGGAGCTAAATGAGTGCCCATAGGCTGGTGTAAGAAAATACAGTGCATGTTGTCTAGCTGGGCATTGTAAAGACGACAGTTTGCGCACTGCTGTCACGTCTTGTACAGACCCATCTTGGGATTGCTGTGAGATGCAAATTGAGGCATTTGGGAGCTTTCTCTCTGCCCTTCAAATTGCCCTGCCCTTTCTGTCCTATCTCTTTTCCTCTGGAATAACGAAGTCAAATTTTTATCTTTGTACATTGAGAAACATTTTTAAACTGATTTCTATTCAGGTCATTGCTATGATCTCTCCATACGCGTACAGAAATTAGTTACAAATTCTTTTTAACGGTGGAAAGTACACAGAGATGGTTCTTTTGAAGCCTGCTCTTGTTTATGCTTTCTTAAATATAGGTCTATACAGTTCTTTGTGGAGAACCACTTAAATAATATTTCCATAAGCATAACAAGTAAAATATTTTCCATGTAAATTAAGGAAGTGAATGCTAATCTTTATTGTTGCAGAAGGAACCAAATGCACACCATGTTTCCGCTGCTTTCTAGACCTTTTCATTCTAACCTGAATGCATAGTCCTGTGAAGGAATGTGTAACGAGATCACTTTAATGAGTTAAACAGAAGAATGAGTAGATATAGTATTTTATAATTTTACTCTTCAAGCAGAAAGGAAAATGTATTTCTTAATGTAAGGAGAAAATACTGTTTGTGGTCGACCAATATACGTACATTGCTTTCATTTAGAGCAATACTTAAAAAAAATTGTTGCTCTACATACTTTCTAGATTAATCAAAAGTAAATTTCAAGCCAAGATATTTCAGTTTAGATGGTACTAATATAATTTTGTCTATTGTCCAAACACTGTAAAAAGGTAAAATGATATTTTTGTGTGCCACAAAGTATCACTTCTGTGAGCACATAGTTATGCGCAATGGAAAATGAAAATACTGAGGGAAAAGTCTCAAATATGTGTGTATGTATTAATCTGAAAACTTATTCTGGTATTCAAGAGATTAATTTTTTGCTTTTACTCCAAGTTTTTTTTCTATGATTGTTCTGGCTGAAGGTTTTGTTCTTCTTGAGTTGTGCTCTTGGATTTTTGTTGTGCTTTGCTGAAGGAAGTACGAAACTTGAGTTGTGCTTTGCTGAAGGAAGTACGAAAGATATGAACGCTTAAGTTTAGGAGGGGAAAAATCAAAATGAACTAGAGAAATTAGGTTGCTGTGACCTAATTAGCTCTGAATCTTCCCTCCAAAGTTATACTGAATTGAACCAAAATATCTGTTGTGGTTTACAGTGATTCTTGCAGAGAAATAATGTGGTGACAGTTCCTGGGAGTATTTTTACTAATGTTCTACTCAAATACCTACTATTATGGTACATTTTTAACATGTATCTTTTTCCTGCTTTGCATAAAAATGAAACTAATTTGCTGTTCAGAAATTAGCATTGTAATATTACGTATTTCATTTGCCAAGTGAGAATTTCATAATGTACTTCCTCTCTTATTTTGTAGGAAAATTTTGATCCCCCTTCCCGTTTCCATTAATTTCCTAAATTCCGTCTTTCTCACCTCTATGTAATTCCTCAGAACTTAATTGCAGATGATGTTTTTACTTTTTACATGAAAGGCAGTGATATTGTATTGATTTCTGTTGTGTGTCTGTGGGCATGTATGTAAATTTAGATCTAAATAGGCCAATGGTTACTCTTTCAGGAGGTCTGCATGCTGCTAGAAGAAGTTGTTGCTTCGAGGGTCAAGCACTACTTGGAAGCGCCTAAACAACGTGGTCAATGGAAATCAGTGGAACACGGTCCTTTGTTTCTCACCGGTAAAATAAATTATTTAACTTACTGTAAAATATAGTAAGATAAAGTATGGTGGAAACTGCTGTTCTTTATTTTTTCCGTGAGAAATTTGCCATCAGGAAAGCCAGTAAGCCTGAAGTAGCTCATGTTTGGGTCTGAAATGACTTCAGCTATGGTATTGAAAAAATTTAATGGGTTTTAGTTTTCTGTCATTGAAAAATGAACATAACACTTGTACTGTTAGTATGAGAACCTATCATTAGAATTAAAAAGAATAAATGTGTTTGTTTAATATTATTTCACTAGCTGTTCTGGTCATCATGGTAGGTTTCGCAGTTGATAGGCTTATCTGTTGGTGTTATATCACACAAGCAATTTATTTAGAAATAGTTCTTAGGAAATTATGCCTTTTTTTATTACCAGCCTGGAGCATGTTATAAACTTGTCACAGAAAAGAAGGGCTGCAGTAGCGAAGCCCTGTGTTGGCTATGTTTTCTCACATTTCCTTAAATATATTGAAATAAATCTCTACTGAAATGTGAATTCTGCAATGAATAAAATTGCATACTTACAATATGCGAGCAGTATACTAATACAAATGTTTGAATTCAATGTATATTATATTAACAATTCCGAACAAATTCTTTGCCTCTCAAAATGTTTTCAGTTTTTGAAAAGGTATATTCCTATAGAATTACAGTGATGGTTGCAGCTTTAAACACAAATATCAATACTAATGAGTGTTTTTAATAAAGAAGACAGTATGATTGGCTTATTATTGCAAGATTTTAGGCATATATGGGAGCCAGATTGTTACGGCATGACAGGAGCGTTTTTTTCCACCCACAAGAACACAATACCACATAAGTAAAAAGTACTTAAGGAGACTAAAGGATTTTCAAACCCTTTTTTGCCTTGCGAGTTGTAACTACATTTTATCCCTTTTAAATACCTTTAATGTTTATAAAACACGTGGACATTCAGATGCCTGTACTTTTCTGGTTTTGAGTGAACAAATAGAATTTTTGTATAGTAGAAGCAGAAGGACATTACAGAGGGTGGGATCAGAATTTCTGAGATTTGTTGAGGTTTTTCTGTGTTTTCCTTTACCGAGTGATATTTTTTTATTATTTGTTTTTTAAAGTTTCCTGCCTCAGTAAGAAGTAGGTTTTCAAAAACAATGATTTTTGTAAGATAAAACTGCCAGACATAATTGGTTTTATATATGCATCACTAATTTGTGGGTGTTCGTAAGGGTCTTATATTTTCTTTTATATCACGAACTTTTCAGTAAAAATACTGGTGTGCTGTCCCAGGGTTGTGAACTGATCTTCTGCTTGACTCTTCCCCTTATTTCCTGAAAATGAAAAACTTAAGGATATACATTTGAGGAGGTCATCAGTAATATCTGTGACAGTTTTAGATTAAAGAATATTTATTTTGGATGAGGCAGAATTACTGTTCCATCAGTTTTCAGCAGTTAATCTCACTGTCATTAACTAACACTAAAGAAATAAAGGAAGAAAACAGTCTGTGATAACGAACATTCATGTTGAACTTAATTTCCAAATCTCTCTTGTTCGTCTTCTCTCAGCCTGCTTTGCTCAGGGCTGTAATTTGTAAGAAAGGATTGCTTTGTTCAAGTCCAAGAATCAAGTTTATTCAAGTCTGTTCTTACCTGAGAAGGAAATAACAGAATAGGTGGGTGTTCACCAGAGCAACTGGGACCTACCTCTAAGGGACTGACCCTTTTAGGTGAGCCACAAGTCTAATACTCTTTAGCAGTTATCATCACTCAAATGTTGCTCCAAAACCTTTTCTGTTTTGCCTTCCTCTCTAGGATCACAGTAGATGTGTTGGTAGAGTACAAAGATACGTTTTTGTGTGTTTTCCACAAACAGATGAAGTGCCAGATAGCTGGCCAGTGTTTGGCTGCCAGTGTTTTGTAGCATACAAAGAAATGCGTAAGCTTGGTATGTGGCTAACTACATACGCATGCTGTAGGTGCTGCTGGTGAAATGTTTAAGCTTGCAGCTATTGTTGCATTTGGAGGTTATTAAAAGTTTTGAGCTCTTCAAACTGAGTGTGGTTTCGTTTGCTCAGAGTTATGCAAGTCAGTGTCTAGAGTTTCACTGCTCTAAAACCCTCGCTATTGCAAGGAAGAGTGTCTCTATAGAAGCAACATTAAGATGCTTATTAGCTGGTTATTTACTACTACAAGTATCCCAGGTCAGCGTTCCACCCCTATATGAACTCACATCTTTTCAGGTCAATTTTCATTAGTTTGCTCTCCACATTGCAGGATGTATTAAAAATTTATTAGGATCAGAATTATTAGAACAGTATCTGGTTAAGATTGTAGACGACCTCTAATATCGAAGCATGTTGTATTAGGATTTTCTTCAGAAATAGAAGCCAAGCTACCATACTTTTGAGCAGAACTCATCCTGCTGTCTAGATCTGTTGAGCAGAAAAGGCTGTTGTTAAACTGGCTACCATAACTATTTTGAAGAGAAAATTTTCACCCATCACAATTTCTTTTTAGTACTAATATTATATTATGTTTAATGTTAATATTATTTAATACCACCTTTCAGTTTTGTGGCACCTAATATAAATATCCATGCATGTTACTTGTTAATTTACATTTCTTTTTCATTTAAGTTACACCCACACAGCAGTGTGTGGTGGGTCGCATACCATCTCATTAGGAAATCTGTGGGTGTTACACACAGAAGAAGAAAGAAAGAATGGAAAAATGAGAGAAAGTAGCCAAGACAAGCAAGTTCTTCCTATTCTTCCTTCTGTCTGAACAATTTCCCCACCCCTCCCAAATGGCCAGTATGAACAATTTGCCAAAGTAAGCTTTAATTTAGTCTTTGGACATAGGCTTTGGTATACACTCTCCATTTTTTAATGTTTAATTGATGTCCAAAGTTGCTTGATTTTGGTTTGTTTTATTCTTTTAAGAGAAAATTAAAATAGGGTAGATTTTCAAAGATTTAATTTTGCCTGCATCCATTTTTCTTGGCCTAAATCATGCAAGAAGGGCATCGATCAGGTATGGTTAGCTTGCGTTATTTGAAGTTCAATGAATGTAAGCCATCCGATAGTAAAACCCATGTGTTAGTGACCTTCTCTTATTCATTAAAAAACCCCACCACTTCACTTTACAAATGTATAATGTTTAACGTTAGAACTTACGTTTTTATAGATATGCACCATACGTTTTCACTTTGCACCACTTGCATTACTCAATAGCACATACTGGCTTTTAGTGATGGTGTCAAGCAGTTAGTGTGTCGTAATGCTCACCTACTTAAACAGGTAGACTTAAACAGGTAAAAAGCAGAGCCTGTTTTTTCATGTTCCACAGAAGGTGGCTGGTTTTGATTAAAAGCAATGAGAATTAAGTAACAAGAGGCTATAAAGTGGACCGAGTGGAGGTATTAAATACAGAATGACAAAGGGAGGACTGCGGAAAACTAAGGAAGAAGGCAAAGTTTACACGGGCACAGAGGAAACAAAAAGGAGGATGCGGAAAGAAAATAGGGCTGGTAGAAATGTCCATCTTAGAAATGGAAGGAAGAAGGTACCTTGTAAACTGACCTTCTTCTCCCTCTTCAGGGATGAAAAAGCTAACTATGTTTATCCTACAAGTAATTTTCAGATCTTTTCTCATTCCTTCCCTAGCATCCTTGTTGTTTTTCTTGGCTTGAGGGTAGAACATTTTTGCTCTGATTTCAGATCTTTTTATTGTACAGTCTCTTCTACAGTGAAAATAATTAGAGAGCATGCTGTCACATGGCACAAAGAGCTCCCAGCTTGATTTTATCTGCTTTCTCTGGGATTGTGTATATTTTTTTTATATTTTAACCTAGTTTTCTAGAGGAAATGGGGCTTATTGTGATCATGTTTCCTATGTGTGTGTCTGTTTGTCCATCCATCTCTTCCCCCATTTGCTTTTTGCAAATGTGATCGAACTTTATGAACAGGTTGCAGTTTCAGACATTAACTTCTGATAAGCTCTTGAAATGAGAAACTGGAAGAAGTACAAGCACTATTATGAATAGTTCAGCCTTACAAAGATCTGGAGTCAAAGTTCACTTCTTAATTAATATTTAAAAAATGCATAAGATGCAATTTCGTAAGAAAATAACTTTCTGCTCTGTTACTTATGAAATTATTGTTTGGCTGCTGTAAGCACACAGAAAATGTACAGTAAATCATGATAGTAAATATTCCAAACTCTTCTGGCCTCACATTTCAATTTGAACTTTATGATATTTTTTAAGGAAGACACCCTTTTCAGACTGTCCTCATTTGCTTTAGGTGTGTTCATGATTACTGTAGAACGTGAAATGTGTAAGATGTTCATAGGGTATGTTCCACATTACAATCCTGTAGCAGCAAAATTGATTTCTTCCCACCCTCCCAGCTGTTAACTCTTACTTGTCTGCTGTGAAACAGTGTTTGGTTTGGTTTTAACTAGAATCATTTCACTTATCTTGCTTAAAGAGCAACTCCAGAAATTTGATGGGCACAACTGGAGGGAAAGTAAGCTATGGCAGATAAGCTACCACAGGGGACTGAGGAAGACAGAAGTCTTTTAAATTAATTTTGATGTTTGCAGTTGCACGTTGTAATTTCTGTCTCAAAAGAGTTATATTGCAGCTTCTTTACAATGGACTCATTTATGATTTGTGGCCAAGTCCTGCACATCTCTGTGAACTTTAAACTTAGATTCATCTATCTGTGACAACAGAGTCTCATAGCTCCCTGAAGTATGCAGTAACTTATGCAATAACTTATGAAAAATGTTTTGATTAATATCTTGTACTTAATATCTCCTGCATTTGCTTTAGATTACATTTTTCCATTTTTTTCACAGACAGTTAATGGGGATTAAAGGCATCTTTTTTTTTTTTTCACTAAAACATTTTTCTTCTAAAAGATCAAGGATACATATCTGAATAGGTAGAGGATATTTGACAAGAACAAAAAACCCCATACTTATGCACTA